ACATATAAAATGAGAAATTTTTAAGTTTTATGAAAGTTAAGGACTATTTTAATAATTTATTTAGATAATCCACCTAATGGACACTAAATTTTTGAATTGTCTGCTTAGTGGAGCAGAAAACTGTTGCGTTCCGCCTTATGGACACATTAGCTATATTACTATATGTCCGTTTCGTGAAACAGCGTAAACAAAGTGTCGCTTCAAAGTATTTTGATCAATTAAATCATTTTATCGAGTTTTCTTGTAAATTCTTTCGCATTTATTCGTAGGTACGTAATAAAAAATGTATTTTATTGAGCGGTATACATTAAATGAAGTATGTAACCTATAAACATTAACCCAAGTATCGTACATAAATGCTGACATATCATAGCTCAGATAAATTTTTTTTTTCCTTTTTATTTTATATAATTTACAGCTCCAGTTTTGTTTTTCCTGATAAAAAATGGCAAAGACAAGCAAAATAAAGAGTTAAGGGAAGAAAAATCATCAAAAAACAGCTTAAAAATGTGGATGGCAATAAAAAAAAAAAAAAAACAGTCGTTGTATTACATAAAACTTTAAAACTTATGCTCAAGAATTCCTTGATTTAGCTATTAAAGCAGTTAGCCATGGAATTTCTAGAAAAAAAGCAGCAAAAACATTCAACGTACCTTTATTAACTATACACAGGCGTCAAAAAAATTCTCAAAAATCTGATTAAAAAATTAGGCCTCCAACAATATTGAAAGCTACAGAAGAATCAGAAATTGTTGATTGGATTTGTTACAGGGCTGTTCATGGATTTTCTGTTTAAAAAACAGACTTATTAAACACTGTCCAGAGTTATGTCATCGATAAAAATAAAGACACACCATTTACTAACTCTCGACCAGGAAGGCACTAGTACGAAGGGTTCGCAAAACGACATCCTGAACTGTCCCTCAGAACACCTCAGCATCTAACACTTACTTGGGCCTGCGTTACTAAAGAGAACCTTTTAGGCTGGTTTTCAGATGTAGGGCAATATTTGAGGGAAAAAGTCGTACTTGAGATTGAAGCTTCTTGTATTTTGAACTGCGATGAGTCTAACTTCTTGTTATGCCCTAAAAGTGACGACGTGCTGACTGAAAGAGGCTCTAAAGCTGTCTACAAAGTAGTTGATGCTTATGAAAAGGAAGGTATGACTGTGCTTTTCAACTACTCTACTGATGGAACCAGAGCCCCTCCTATGGTCCTGTATAGTTATAAAAAAGAAGTCGCCCCACATATTTTAGAAAAATCCCAAAAAGGTGGGGAGTTGGTCTCTCTAATTCAAGATGGATGACCACAGAAGTTTTTTTTTTAATATGTAGTTAATGTATGGTATCCATGGCTAGTCAAGAATAGTATCTGCTTTCCAGTTATTTTATATCAAGATGGACATGCTTCTCATGTAACTATTCCTTTGGTCAGATTTTGTCGTGAGAATAAGATAGAGTTACTTTCATTATACCTAAACGCTACTCATTTAATACAGCCATTAGATGTAGCTCTGTTTCATTCCTTGAAAGAGTCATGGAAGAGAACTGTGCCAAAATGGAAAATACAAAATGAAACCTTGAAGTTAAGAAAAGAAGAGTTTGCTCCTGTTTTGAATATTGCTTCGGATGCCTTGGTCGATGAGAAAAAAACCATTCAAAACGGTTTTCAAGCTTGTGGGCTTATGCCTTTTAACCCGAGTGCTGTTGAGTTTGATATTTTAAATAAGAAAAATAAAATTTCAATATTAACTCATACTGATAACGTTAGAAAATCATCTGAAAATTCTGAAAATATGCACATGAATTCTATGATGATTGAGCCTCATAGATTTTCTCAAATGTTCAATGAAAGTATATGAGAAGGATTATTAAAAGAATTTGAAGATTGTAAAAAAACACACATATGAACTGGAAAAATTTAAGATAAAAGTCTTTTTTACTACTGGATAAAACTTAAATCTACAAATGGTAGTCATCCTTAATTTTTCTTTATTTTAATTAATTTTTTTATTAACATACAAANTATGATTTTTAAAACAGTTTTGTTAGTTACAAAATTTTTTTTTCTTTTTTAATCATCTTTAGGATCTAACATAAAAAACATGCCAACAGTTAAGAATGTTGGAGGTATTGTACGTATACAGGGAACTTGTATAACCACCTTTCTCAGTGATTTTTCTCAATCCCCACCTGTTACCCTTTCGGATCATCCTATAAATATCAGTCCATTTGAAAATAATATATTTACCTATACTAAAAGCGAAAATAATAACAATAAGCCACTAATTGCTGAAAAAAATTTGTCAAATTTAATGAAAAATGGTTTCGAAAATAATATGATTAGTTGATATCGTAAAAATCATGAAATTAATGTTGAAATAAATGAAAACTCACCTGAGATTATAGAACTCTCAGATTTGTAAAATTATATTTTTAAATAACTATACCTTTAATGTCAATGTAACTGATCGTAAAAATTTCATAACTGTAGAATACGTTGACACAGATAATCATGACAATTTGGATTCCACCCACGAAGTTTTTAGTGGTGCACTATTAGGCAATAATATGATCGATGAAAATCATGCTCTTGAATTGGGAATAGATGTTGGTAGAAAAAATAAAAATTAAGAAGGGAGCAGTAGCAAAAATAATATGGAAAATACTCCACGTATAAGTAATCAAAGTAATTAAAATTGTACCTACAAATACATATTTCTTACATTTTATTTGTACATTTATTTTTTAACAGCAACCATTGATAGAGCAAATAGTTTTACAAATATGTACATGTTACCTGAAAAGTATTTATCTAAGAAAAAAGATTAAACTGGAAGAAACGAAAAACTAAAAACTACCTGCGGCTGGAACTTCTGATGCTTGGATAAAAATACAAGAAAAAAAAGAGAGAAAGGAAGCCGAAAAAATAGAAAAAATAGCTAAAAAAAAGCTATTACAAGAAGAAAAGAAGAAATTACGAGAAGAAGCAACAGTGCTACAAAATAAAATGAAAGAAATACAAAAGAAAGTAAAAACAGAAATTTAGTAAAAAATCTAAAACTTTTCCAGATTGCACTGTGATTTTATTAAAGTATCCTCTAATGAACAATTATTTATAAAAAAGTTTGTTGTTAAGTGATTCATTATAAGTAAAATTAAACATTTAAATCTAAATTACGATTATTTATTCACCTTACATACTTGTTCCACCATACGTACGTAAAAAATGGAACAGTGGTACATAGACCACAGTCGTTGTTCCAGCATACGTACATATTGATTATTTCGTAATTCTTTTCGTGATTTTTTTATTTTTTATCATTTCTTGATTTTTGAAACAACTATGGCCTCATAAGAACCTAATTAATCGATAAATAATTTAATCACTAACCATGAATTGATTTAGATACCCATTTTGTACAGGAAACTCAAAGTACTTTAAAAATCGTTCCAGCATCAGTACGTTTACCTTATGCTCAGCTAACCTAGAGCCCTAGGGATTTTCTTGAAACACGAAACCATGCTAGATGGCGCTAGGGTCATTCGGCGTTCAAGGGTACCAGTATTCTCAGCTGCCAGAAAATTTTCTCACTGTTAACGCAGCCTGATTTTGTGTTTATCCGATTGCAGGGGTTTAACGTATTCTGTATCCATAACTTCTATGATCTTTGTTTTTTTTCTCATAACCTTTTTCCCCCCAAGGATGCGAATTTTTCGTGCCCCTCAGAGGACTTGGTCATTCATCTAACTGGATAATATATACGAGTCGCCGTGATTGTCCAAAGCGCACCCTAGCTATTATCAAGTTAATTAAATTTACATCTTTCAATGAACCATCTTACTCGTTGAACTGATTTGTTTTTTTAAAACCAGCAAAAACTACCTATGAGCTGGCCAGGTTTTGGCTTTTCGTGAAAACGAAGCTCTTGGAAGTTCAGAGATCACCACAAAAACTTATTATTTGTTTTTCAAAATCAGATTAGTGGTTTTTTTGCATTTGCATTACTTATCTCATTGAAAAAGCCCGAGAAAAAACTTTTATACTTTTGGATAGGATTCAGACCTACTACCCCTTGATTATATCCGACTAGGAGACTAGTACGCTAAGCCCCAAGCATTTAAAGTTAAAGCTCTAGATGAGTATAATATTTTCTATAAGCAAAAAATAAATAATCCGCCTTCAAGTAGGCTCAATAATTCTGACGTTCAAAATACATCAGCCAAAAGTTGTTCTATCAATATGATGTTAAAAAAAAGTTTTAATTACAATTTCAATTATTGATTTAAATTTACAATTTCACTTTGCATAAAATTTTGTTGTATGTAAAATATTTAATTTCTCATAGTTAATTTTAAATTGAAAACTTTTGTCACCATAAAAAGATCATTACACAGAGATTGCTAAGGTTGAGGTAGTACTTTCGTATAATAATTGACCTACATGATTTTAATAAAATTTACTCCATTAGATTGCAGGTACTTAAGAATACTCTAGAGAAATTTTGTTGGACATGGGAGTTTTACTACTTATCAGTTGATTATTTTATGAGTAAAGGCAGTTTATTTTGTACTACAAAAAACTGACCACCAAGATATTCATTAAAGTTTACGAAGATATATATTTTAGTATACATGTACGAAAACGTTGCTATTGAAGTAAAGGTCTTAATTAATTAGTGCAGTATCGACAGTACTACCTTAAATAATTGTAAATATATAAGTTACCATATATTAAGAAAAACACTGCAGTCGTGAAATATTTTTGTGCTAGAAGTTATTATTTCCCAAGGGATTAATGCTTCATGAATAAAAGCTTGACATTGCATTAAATATATATGTATATATCTATATATGTATCAAATTTTCTCAGAAAAATTAAGAAATACGGATCTTTCATTAAAAATACGCATTTTATATCGATATGGCATTATTATTGTAAANCTATAATTAAAAGTTATAAAATTTTCTTATTGTAAATACTTATTTTTAATCGAATACCTGCAGTCTCCTCTCTCTACCAATATGCTTTTCGATCAAGTTGATTAGTTCTAGTCTCTGTATTGATCCCAATAGAATCATTGAATCTGGATTATCAACCAATGGAAACCCACGCAGCTTTTTATTATCCTTCAAAATTTCTTTTAGCCTGTGATATGTTATCCCATGCCAAATATACTTCACACCACAAACCATGAAATCTTCTACATAAATATTGTACATTCCTGAAATGTTAAGAAAATATAAGTGTATGTAAACTATTCTAATAGGAGACAACCTGGTAATTTTGTTACAAAGGTTTCCAAATATTTGTTAGCTCAGTGTATGGAAAGAAATTTTTTATATAATAATTTTTCATACAAGATTTATTTACAAAATACACTAAAAGACTTTTAAAATTTGATATCAGTAATTGTTACATTCACTCAAACTGTAGCAAATTAATTACTTAAATTATGCTAACAATGGTAATAAAAACTACATTTTAGTAAAATTTTAGTGTTCAAAAAAATGTGTTTGTAGAACAATCATGAGCAACCACAATAAACTTTTTAATTTGCTGTTTTAAAAGTTAACGAAAAAAAAAAAATAGATTACTGTTATCCAAATGATTGTCTTTTGAGTCGAATTCGAGGGTGGTAAACCTACAGAGGCAGGAGCGGACTGGAATAATAATAATGGCCCTGTTAGTGCAAAATTAACTGGTAACTTTCTACCATCTCCTAATAACTTTAATTAAAGTAAATGATCACCATCCATAGTTATGCGTCTAACTATAAGCATTGAACAAAAATAATTTGTTTCTTTCTTTCACGTACTTACTTATAAAAATTCGGAAAAATATTAAATTGAAAAGAAAATTATGTTATTACAGGTAATTATTTCAAGAATTTTGAAAAACTGCTATTTTTGTTAATTTTTTCTGATTTTCCAAGATTATCGACATTATTAACAAATATCTCTAACAATAAAAGTGCGACTTTTACATATTGTCTTGAATCGTTAATTATAAATAACAAGTTTTTAATTTGATACATCAACGCAAATATAGTCATATTAAGTTCTGATGGTCTTCCTAACATCACTTAATTATTCTTCGCACGACAGGATCAGATTTATTTCGTTTTAATAATAAGATCTTTGTAAATACCAGCACAAGATGTGTTTCTTTGTAAAACATTACGTGAAGCTATGATATTCTGTAAAAAAACAAAGGTCTATATATCTAATTTTTGACTAGTAATCTCGAGTTTATTTAGAAACAGCTACATCTCAAGAACAATAGAACAAAGTTTACACCTTTTTTTTCGAAAAATTATTGTACAAAGTGCAATTATCCTATAAATTTTTAATTTATTACATTGAAAACTAATTTTAATATCTCAACATAAAATTTTTAAGTTCAAATGAGCTCTATGTAAAAAATTTAACAATTTATATCGGTCAACTTCCAAATTCGGCAATACTTGGAAAGTTTTCATTTTTTTTTAATAAAGCAAGATGGCAAAATGATTGGACAATAACAAAATCAAGTTTGATTCCGTGCTTGTACCGTTATTTTTGTGATAAGTTAACGTCTTTCTAGCTGTATTTAATAAAGGAAATGTTCGCTTTAACTTTTTTTTTACTTTCCAAAATCATTTACTGTAAATAAGTTCGATACTTACAAACAAAAAATTTTAATACGTTTATCAATGCTACCACCTCTTTATTCGGTTATAAAACAACTTTTTTTGTGCATTTTCACCCCCACCGTTTTTTTAGCTTTATCCTTTTAAGGGTTATGAGATCAACATGTACGTTTCCAAATTGGTTCAAGAACTTCAATACCGAGAGTCATCCATTCACTTCTTAAACTGAAATACGTATCATTGATTTTACTAGTAGGTCGTCAGCTCATCGCTGACATTCAGTGTTGTTGGTATCCGATATATCGAGCTACATGATGGTTATCAATTTTCTGTTCAGTATTATTGTAACTTCACTCACTGACTTCCATTATAGGTGGCTTTCATTACACTTCGTCGTCACCTCCCGTAACGAAATTTCTGCGCGATATCGTGCAAGATATCCTACACCATAAACTACACGACATCCTACACAATATTAAGCAAGATTTTCGGCAACAAAAAAATAAAGAAGTATAAACTATAACCAATGTAATTTTAAATTTTTTCCGCTCAAAAGCTGTTAGAAAAGCTAATGTAAGTAGTAAAAAAAAAACAATCTGCTTACTCTAGTGAAGGGATTTGAACCTCGTTCTCAGGGATCGCAGACGAGTGTCTTACGCACTTGGCCAAAGTGGATTAGACTCTCGTAAACGAATTTACTTCCTTATAAGGTACATCTGAAACTTATGCTTATTATTTCATCATTTCGTGAATAATATCTACCACTTTGGTTACCCAATTTATAATTAACATCTTACAAATGTACATTTTATATTGTTTCGTATCTCTTAACACGTTTGTCAACAATAAATCTCGTAATTGATTTTACAACTATTTTTCGTTCACGGATTTTAGTTATACTTTACATATACTTTTCATTCCAAGGAAAAATTAGTCGATATTTAAAAGTGTAATAAATTTATTGTTATATCACCACAAAGGTATAGATTACCTTTCCCTCTTTAATACTTTAATCTGGATATCGAATACCAGCAGGAAAAACAATTCTTCACTTATCTATACAGTACTTCTTAAAAACTATTAGATTTGAACAAAAATTAGGAAAATTATTTCTCAACTAGAATAAGAAACTGTAAAAAAGCAATATCCTTAAGACATAATAACATTATTAAATGTTATTTTCTATAGTTTTGTGGAATTTATTAAGAATTTGTTCTAAAAACTGTTCGATTTACACAAGAAAATTAATATTTTTATAACTGCTCTCAAAGCCTGTCAAAATGATTTCGAAAGAACGTAAAAACTTTATTAAATGTTGTTTCATGTAAAACTCAATTTAAGTAATTTTATTTTTTATAAATTTAATCATAATAATTCTGTTTACATGGTTTAGTAAAATTCAATTGCTAAAATTGTAAAGAAAGATCATATTCATTTTGTTTTACATTTTTAAAGATGAAGATTAGGTTTTAACAGCATTACAAATTTTTTTTAAATAATTACGTAAGTTTATTCAGTGCTACAGTTTTGTTGCATTGCAAAAAGCAAATAATTCACAGCTTTAGTACTAAAGATTAGATTTCAATACGTTTAAATAATATGTGTCAAACAAAAGTTTCAACTTCACCCATAATATATGATACTATTAAAGTTAAATAATCAACCTCAAATGATTAAAAAATATAAAGAGTACACGGAATTTTTTAGGCTAACGCTGTAAGATCACAAGTCTAGCACCGTCAGCTACACTATTAGTTTTAGACCCAGATTTATCGGGCTTTAGACACAAATATTTTCATATTTTTTTTCTAATTAACTGACTTATTCAATTGTTAGTTTCTATTTCTTAGAACATTTTATGCATCTATAATAGACTGAAAAATTTTTGTTTAATGTATGATGGTTTGAAAAGGTGTACATAAGGTCTAAACATCATTTTTCTGCTTTTTCAACGAAAACTTGTGAATGTAAGATTATTTAAAATAAAACAGGAATACCATTTTCTTTAAGAATCAACAAAATATATGTAACAAAAAATTTTGATTTTCATTCTTATTACAAGCAGTATTGACAACATTTTTAGGGCAGAATAGAAATGTGCAAACTATCTTCAATAAATATGTTACATACACCACACAACTTTTACCGCTTGCGCTTCCTACGAATATTCACCGTTTCCATCAATGAAATCGATTTTTATGATTATACATACAGGTGTATTTGAAGAGAGTAGTAAAGCAGGTACCTATAATGTTTTAAGTAAGAACAATTTAAAAATTTGAGTTTGAGAACTAAAACACAGTATTTGGTTGATACTTCTTGAAAATTATTATTGTCGCTGTCATGAGTCTTGTATCTTCATAAACAGTACCTTTCAAATTGTTAAATATGTGTACAAATATGTATTTATTTACTTTGTGTAGTAGTATTAAAAAGATCTCCATCCCGGGACATTTCAGCACACTAAAGTTAGACAACTTACACAATTTCCAAATAATTTAAACGATCGAGAAACATTACTTGTTGACGGTTTTTTGTTGTAAACATAAGTTTTGTATTTTTAAAAGTATAGAACTAAATAAACTTTACATAAGTATTTTTAAAACTTTTTTGTTTTGCTATTTTAATTCAACATGCATTAATAAGAATGCAAAGTAAACCCTATATGATACTTCTTCACTATATTTCACAATTTCTTTCTTCAACAAAACGATGAAAAAGGAATTGTTATTATTAAAACTATAGAATATACAATAAATTGAACAAAACTACATAAAATAACATTTGCTGATGTTATTATGTCTTTAAGATAATGTTTTTTTACATTCTCTCATTCACGTTAAAAAAAAATTTTCTTAATTTTTGTTTGAATCTAATAGTTTGTAAAAAAACTTTATTTTATGTATAAACTTATGTTGTAAGAATTTATGTAATTTATCTGAGTACTGTATAAATAAGCGAAAAATATGGTTTTTTCCGCTGGTATTCGATACTCAGATTAATGTGTTCAAGAGGAAAAGGTTATTTACAACTTTGTTGTGATGATAACAATAAATTTATTAGACCCTAGCAGGAATGTGCAATCGTAACATAATGGAAGAAAAAGTAAACATGTGTGATTATACGCCGTGACCTGTAAGAAAACGTAAGAAGATGTAAGGAACTATTATTCCCAAGGAATTGAGACGTTTTTAACATTTTATTATGTTGTATTACGTTTTCTTACATTTTCGTTACGTTTTGATATGATTTACCACATACTATTACACTAATAATGTTTTATAATAATTACTTAACTTTTCTTCGTTAAAAGTAATTTTTATTCAAAAAAGTAAAAAAATGTGTCTAAAAGTTATTAATTATGCAATCAACAAAATATAAAACAGTGTAATAAACTGCAAAAAACTGTAAGCTGTTATAAAATATTACACATGATAATATTTCCTTACGTTTTAATAGAGTTTATTACAGTTGCTTTTTCACGAGATTTAAGTAGCTTTTTAGAATCATAATAGTAAACGTTACGAGTCGTAAAATAATGTATTAAGTTGTAGTCGACTGTAAGTAAATGTAACAAAACGTAACAAACTGTA